CACCGGCATCTTATGCCTTTGAAATGTGACCAGAGCCCTGTCATGCTCTAATACTCCGTAGGGCACAAGAATGATTGGAGCAAATATTAAGTCAGACAGTTCTGGAGAGTCTCTATTTAGCAACAGCTGTATGACTTGCACAAACCTAATATTGTAGAACAGGATTGATAGTGAAACACCACATAATCTTTTGGTCATGGGGCGCTGTTACATAAATGCATCTGTGTTGGTCATTTCAAGACTGCCAGCAATAGTTTATTAGATTAAAATAAAGGGGTTGAAGTCAAAACTACACTGTGTGTTACTAGAATGATCTCTTATAGTTCATTCAGATGTGTTAGTGAGGAGCATCCATCCACCCATTAAAGCCCATTTGTATTTCCTGATGAAACAGAAAGGAAGGCTTGCAGAACTACACAGCTAGGTGGTTATTTTCAATACAGTTTCATGTGAAAAATGACCTATGTTGATGTCAACTCACAGAAGAAAATTTTACAATCTTCTCAAAATTAGTGTGTGTATGTGTGTGTGTGTGTGTGTGTGTGTGTGTGTGTGTGTGTGTGTGTGTGTGTGTGCATGTTCGTGTATCCCTATATGTGTTTATATTAATTCTTTGAGATGGTAACTAAAATAAGATTGGTCCCAAAAAGTTTTGTCTTCTTTATAATCAGTATTATCCTTGACCCATTTTCATGTGCCTTTCCCCAGTATATAAAATGTTTTCTTTTTTCACATCTTATTTCTCACAATTGGAAGACACTGCCTCTAACATCCTTAGAGGAAAAAAATGTGAGATGGACAGAAACAAAGACAAGGGGAGAAAGGATGGCAAGAACCCCGTAAGAAGAAAGATCCTAGGACTTGCATAAGGTGATGTTCTGTTTTGTCCTGTTCTGATGTATTTACTTTTGTATTACATTGTATTTATTATTATATTATATTATATTTTTGTCTCTTGGGAGCCTGTTTTCTTTTGAATGGGACAGAAAGGGAATGAATCCAGAAAGGAGGGGAGGTGGAGAAGAACTAAGAGGACTAGAGGGAGCAGAAACTGTAAGCAGCATATATTACGTGAGGAAAAAAAATACCAATTTTCAATAAAAGAGAAAAAGATTTTGCTGTTCAAAGGGTTAAGGTAGTGTAGAAAACAAGGAAGCTAGAGATCAATCAGGGTTATTTTTGTCCTAAAACACAGTAGAATACAGTTTTTCTTCCAGCTACAGTCAGAAGAAAGCATTGTTGCTGTGGAGTAATTCTCTTGTACACTGTAAAGATTTGTCACTCAAATTTTGGTTTAATAAAATGCTGATTGGCTAGTAGCCAGACAGGAAGCATAGGCAGAATGACCAGACTAGAATTCTAGAAAGAGGAAGGGCAGAGTCAGGTGTCATCAGCCAGACACTGAGTAAGCAAGATGAGAATGCCTTGCTGAGAATAGGTACCAAGTCATGTGGCTAAGGATAGGTAAGAATTATGGGTTAATTTAAGCATAAGAGGTATTTAGTAATAAGCCTGAGTTATTGGCCAAGCACTTATTTTTCTCCGGTGGGTTCTGTTTGCTGGCAGTGGGCAGAGGCAAGGCTCCTTTAAGAAGTAGTTTCCTGAGGCAGCTTTAGTAGCTAAAACCACATGGCTCTTTCAAGAGGTCCTGTTGCCAAACACATATATGTTGTTTATGAGCATCTGATGGCATGCTACATGGTGGTATCATGGACCTAAAACCTCTCCAGAGTTGGAGGCCATAGATGTGGCTCCTGCCAGTACCTCCACCAGGAAGCTAGACTCTCAGGAAGTCAAGGAATGTGGTGGAGCCAGGTGTTTTAATCCTAGCAGATTAAACACTTATTTGGTCAGAAAAAGATAGAGATATGCATTAAATACAGATTCAGACAAAAACAAAAGAAAAAAACCCTCTAAACAGTTCACAATGTGTTTAAAAATATACTTAGGCTTTCAAGAGTGAAGAGAAGGTATAAATAGTCATAAAAAGGAAATAATAGTTTTAAAATAAAGTCCTTAAAAAGGGAGTAAAGTAATAGTTTTTTAAAAAGTCCTGAAAAGATGGAAAATACACAGAGAGTCTGGATATTGTATGTTATTTTTTGTCTTTGGATTGTTTGACTACTGAGGAAGGAGCAGCAGCTGCTAAGAGACACTTGTTTATAAATGTTACTTGATTAACAACCTATATATTTTGAAAGTGCCTTGACTTTAAAATTTAAGTCAGAAGATATATTACTTTGGAGAAAAGGTTATGCTTTTATTTCCACAGGAAATGAGAGGCTGTGGATTCCTTCTATGTTAAGAAAAATCATGTTTGAAGAAGATCCCCTGAAAAATCTTCAATGGGAAGAAATGGCCCAAATGACCCCATGTTCCAGAGCACCTCTCTTGCAGTTTTCTTGGAATTCTGTATCCAGAAATGCTTCTAGACTGCTAGCTGAGATGATCAAGACACTCAGACAACTCCAGTCAAGACTTAACCATAATCCTAAATTTTCTCATGGTTCCCATAAGATTAACAGCACACCCAATCAGCAGGAAGTATCCTAGAAAAGTACTCCCACATTCCCAAAAAATGGATTATAGATGTTTGTCTTTGTTTAGGGGGTTTGGTTACAAATTGTTGTTGGTCATAGTCAATCTCTTTTAAGAGAAGAAAGGGGGATATGATATAGAAATGATGAGAAAAAGGGTAGATTATTAAATCTAATTTAATACAAAAAACAATTCTTAATCTTATGTATTTAGCATCAGGATGAATTTTAGTTTATTGATAGAAATTTAAAGTTTATTTTATTATAATGAATGTATATTTCTCTTCTTCTTTAGAGTATTATGTTTATGCAGCTCATTTAAAAATATAATATATAATTAAGAAATATGGTTTAATAGTCATCTATAAGAGCAAACTTATAGTAATGTTAGGTATGTTTTCAAGGTCATACAGAAATATATTTCAGGTAGATAAGTAATCTTCAAACACTTCAAAGACCTACAAAATATGGCATTTCAAATATTTTAAGAACTTAGACTTTTCATGAAAATGAGACATGTCTGCTCCTGGCAGCACCAATTACTTCCAAGAAAATGATGGGCATCAAAGAAACTCTATGTGGAGTTTGTTTTCTTTATGTCAGAACATAGCCCTGTGGTCAAAGAAGTTGTCCTTTGCCTTTACTGCTGACAGTATTCTGTCCAAATTGGACAAGCAGGATGCAAAAGAAAGTGACTGCAGAAATTTGCCAAGACAAGGTGGGACAGTCCTTCAAAGATCCTGCTTCACAGATAAGTCTGTCAGATATTCTAGGCCTGTAGGCCAAAGATAGATGCCCCAACATTGCAAAGAAACTTTGAATGACTATCCAGGCAGCCTGATGTCCCTGTCATTTGGTAACATTACATCCTTCTGGAGTCTTTGATGGAATCGAAGACTAGATAGTTATAGTTATAATTTAATTATAATAAAAGATAAATTAGATACAAAACTTTAGACTCACCAAGATAAGAGAGATAATAAGTATTTTCTCTAACTTTGCCAAATGCAAATGGATTAGGTAGTGTCACTGTAATTCTTACTTAATAACTGTTTTTGTTGTATATAGTCTTATTATGTTAAAGTTAAAATCTTCCTTTTTAATTAGACAAGAAAGGAGAAATGCTGTCGAATAATTCTCTTGTACACTGTAAAGATTTGTCACTCAAATTGGTTTAATAAAATGCTGATTGGGCAGTAGCCAGGCAGGTAGTATAGGTGGGATGACAGACCAGAAGAATTCTGGGAAGAGGAAGGGCAGAGTCAGGAGTCATCAGCCAGATGCAGAAAAAGCAAGATGAGAATGCCTTACTGAAAAAAGGTACCAAGTCATGTGGCTAAGCATAGATAAGAATTATGGGTTAATTTAAGCATAAAAGCTATAAAAGCTACTTAGTAATTAGCCTGAGCTACAAGCCTAGCATTTATAAGCAATACTAAGTCTTTGAATCAAGTACTTGGAAAACAGCTGCTGGGATGGGGAGCAGGGAGTCAGGACAGGAAACTTCTGCCTACACATTATTACTTTACTTTTGCAGACCACAGACACTAGGTTCTCTAACACGTAATTTTCAGAAGTGTTTTTGTTGACCCATTTAGTTAGTCAAGACTATCTGTACAAAGTAAGGTAGACTAGGTATATTATAAATAGGAGAGATTTGGTTTTCTGTTCTGGAGGCTGATGGCTGTAGTTAGATGTCCTGTACTCAGATTTTTGTTAGTGTCCTCACCTGGAATTGTGGGCTGTTGACTTCTCTTTATACTCTCATGTTATGGGAGAAAGGCAACTAGTTCTCTGGCCTCTTCATTTTTGGTGTCTGAAATTTTATACTTGCATATAATGTGTTTTGATCAAATTCACTTCTATTCCCTGCCATCCAATCTACCGCCCCCCCCCACACACACAACTTTTCCTTCCCAAGTTGATGTTATTTTTTTTAATCTTACTGAATCTATTCAGTGTATCTTGGTTTAGAGCCGTCTACTGTGAGTATATGTAGCTTCATAGGAATGGCATTATCACTGAAGAAAGCTGACTCTCTTGCCCTCCCAGTAATCATCAATTGCCAATAGTTTTCCACCCATGGAAAGTTCTCCATCCACATTGATGTTTAGGTAGGCTTTATCTTGTGCAGGTCTTCTACATGCAGTCACTGCTGTTGTGACTTAATATGTGTAACTGTAATGACATATCAAATAAACACTGGTCTTCTGGGGTTAAAGGCATTAGAGCCTTGCCTACGGGCTATAACTATAAAATAGTATTACCTCCCAAAGGCTCCAGTTCCAAACATAATCAGAAGGAGAAGAGGTTTCACAGTAATTTATAAGGTGGTAGGGATGTTTTTGAGTCTAGTAAACTGTTATGCTTTGTAACACATTTCTAGGAAATAAAAGCTAAAGTTACTCATTAGGAAAACCAATATCATACATTATTGTTGCAAAAATAAATGGAACACACAAATTGTTAAAGAATTCGGCAGCATATATACTAAAATTGGAATATACAGAGATGATTAGCATGGCCTCTGTGCAAGGATGCCACACAAATTCACGAAGTGTTCCATATTTTTACTACGTAAACATCAATATCTCTTTACTTCTTAGTAAAGTTGTAGTCCCAACCCAATTAAAAATTAAATCTGAGGCCGGGCGGTGGTGGCGCACGCCTTTAATCCCAGCACTCGGGAGGCAGAGCCAGGCGAATCTCTGTGAGTTTGAGGCCAGCCTGGGCTACCAAGTGAGTCCCAGGAAAGGTGCAAAGCTACACAGAGAAACCCTGTCTTGAAAAACCAAAAAAATAAATAAATAAATAAATAAAAATAAATAAATAAAAATAAAAAAAATTAAATCTGGACCACTGCCAGCAGACCAAGGTGGGGTCAACCTTGTGGATTTCTGAGAGTCTCCCCAGCACCCTGCCTCGTCCTATTCCCATGATGTCCTCATCTATCATGGTATCTTCCTCCCTGCCCTCCCATTCTGTCCTTGCTCCAGCTTGACCCTCCCATTTTCCTATATTCTCATCCCCTACTCCTTGCCCTCTGCCACCCCACCACACCCAGTCTGCTCATGTAGATCTCATCCACTTCTCCTTCACAGGGTCATCCATGTATCCCTCCTAGGGTCTTTCCCTGTTAGCTAGCCTCTCTGAAGTTGTGGGTTGCAGTCTGGCCATCCCTCCCCTCATATCTAGTATCCACTTATGAGTGAGTACATACTATGTTTTTCCTTCTGAGTCTGGGTTACCTCACTCAAGATGATATTTTTCTAGTTCCATCCATTTGCCTGCAAATTTCATGACATCACTGTTTTTTTACTGATGAGTAGTATTCCATTGTGTATATGTGCCACATTTTCTTTATCCATTCTTCAGTTGAGGGGCATCTAGACTGTGACAGGTCTAGGAAATAACCTAACTGTCATAGAGCCTTTGTTCAGTGACTGATGAAAGCAGATGCAGAGATCCATGGCCAGGCACCAGGCTGAGCTCTGGGAATCCAATCGATGAGAGAGAGGAGGGATTCTGCAGGCAAGGGACATCGAGATCATAATGGGAGGACATGCAGAGATGAGCACCCACACTAGTGGAAGCGCATGAAACGTGGACTGGTGGCTCTGGAGCCCCATGGGACTGGACTAGGCCCTCTGGATATGGAAGATGGTTGTTTGGCTCGAACTGTTTGGGGGCACCCAGGAAGGGGGATTGGGATCTGTGCCTGGTGCATGGGCAGATTCTGGGAATCTGGTGCCTTTCACAGCCTTGGTGCAGTGGGAAGGGGCTTGGACCTGCCTAGGCTAAGTGTGCTGGGCTCTGCTGACTCCCCATGGGAGACCTTGATTTGGGGGATGTGGGAATGCGGGGTGGCTTGGGAGACAGGGGTGGGGGATGGGATGAGGGAGGAGGGGGGATCTGTGGGTATTCTGTGGAGTCAGCTGAAATTTCTTAATAAAGAAAAATGAAAAATAAATAAATAATAAATAAAAATAAATCTGGCTTTGGAGTTGGATCTTGGCTCTCTACTTCTCTAAATCAAAGCAGGTTGTTAAAGGACAAATTTAGAGTTTCTGTCTCATATCAGAAGAGCCCCTTGATGTGGGACAAAAGAAAACCAAAATCTCATCCTCTTCTTACTTACTTTTGACTCTTTAGAACCATTTTTTAGATATAGTACTATCTTAAAATTTAAACTTTCTGTCTTGATATTAGTAATGTTTAAATTTTCCAGAGGGAACAATAAACTTTCCTAACAGTGATCTCTGAAGTCTCAAGAAGGAAGATGGGTCCCCTCAACCATGATTCTATCTGGTTCATAATGATGCCACTGAGCTGATAAACATCACTTCAAGATCAGATTTGGAATGCAAACTGTTCAGGACAGTTTCAAGGAGGCTAGCTGAGATGGAGCACCATCTTCCACATCTAGCTAGAACTTCAAATAAACTTTACCTATTACTCTGAAACTGGCGACAAATGTTAGAGCTAGTCCTCATTGGACTTAACGATTGTTCTAGTTTTTACAGGATCCTACAGAGATACCATTGCCCCCTAAACAGCAAGAAACAATTCTAAGGAAAAGGTGCTCCCTGTCCCAACAGGTTTTTGTTTTCTCATGGTCATGAATAGTTGTCATTTGTTAGGGGTTGGTTATAAATTGTTATAGGGTTGGGGAAGGAACAGTAGAGTTAGACTCAGGAATCTCATTTAGAACAGAAAAAAAGGGGTAGATAGGATAGGAAATAAATTAGATTATTGTATCCACTTGTAAACTAAATTAGCAAATATTAGTCTTAGGTAATTTGCATTAGTATGGATTTTTGTATATTGTTACAAATGTAAAATTATTTTTCTTTCCCATTTAAAATAATTTGTATATTGATACAAAGACAAAACTATATTTGCCATATTGTACATATGTCCTTACTTCTGTTTAAAATATTTTTTTTATTGATACAAATGTAAAATTGTATTTGTCATACTGCATGTATGTTCTACTTTTGTTGAGGATATTTTGTATATTAATACAAATTAAGGATATTTTTGTCATATTGGAATATACATTTCTACCTCTGATTAAGATATTTTTGTATATTGTCACAAATTCGAGGTCATTGTCCTTATAGTGTACATCTGTTTATAGATTGTTTACTTTTATAATGTGAAGCTTTAGTCTTTAAGCTATGTAGGTTGATAATAGTTGAAAGTTAATACTCACCCATGCTTGTCAAACTTATTGTCATCTTGGTTAGGTTTTCTAGATAAACAGAGATATATTTCAGAAGGATAGGTAATCTTCAAACTTTTCAAAGACCCAGAGAATATGGTATTTAAATGTTTTAATAACTTAGAATTCTGCCTATGTGAGACATGATTGCTCCTGGCAGCACCAATCTGCTCCTGAGTGAATGATAGGCATCAAAGACATTCCATATGGAGTTTTTCTTCTTGGCATAAATGGCCTGTTGGGCAAAGAAATTCCCTTTCCTTGACTGCTGACATTAAGCATGCTGTCCAATCCAGATGAGCATGACATGAGGAAAAGCAATTTCTGAATCTTGCCAAGACAGGGTAGAACAGTCTTTCAAATTTTCCTACTTCTGAAAATGGTCTGTCAGATGTTCTAGGCCTGTAGCCAGTGGTTGAAGAGAAACAATGTGTGACTGTCCAGGCAGCCAGCTGTCTCTGTCATTTCTTGCATACTTCAAAAGTTGCTTGTTTGCACTTCCTGCTTACTCAGGTAATACTATTTTCCTTCTCAGGTCTTTTATGGGGTTGAAGACTAAATAGTTACAGTTATAATACTCTCATATCTTAGCTAAGAGCTAAGAGCATGTCAGATACAATATTTAGATCCTTCAGGATATAATAGCTATTGGGTAGTCTCTGGAATTTGCCAATTACCCTCAGTCTGGACATTTAGTACCTGTTTCTTGATTGATGTTGCTCTTGTTGGTTGTAGTTCCACTTTTATTTATGTTATTAGCCCTTCTTTCTCTTGGACAATATTTGATAATTGTTCTCATATTATATAGTTTTGTATTAGGTTTAGAACCCTTTTATTTAGATGAAAATGGGAAGTGTTGTGGGTATTCATTCCATTCAACCAATGACCTTTGGGCTTTCTGGGTACATGACCAGTTTAAACTGAAGAGGGGGTGCATTCTCTCTCAGGTGGCCAGAGACCAGATGGTTGGTTCCCTTTACCCCTCATCAGAATTGAAGACAACAATGGCTGGTTACTTTGTTCTGTATCCATGAGTGTATTATCCCTATTTTTATAACTTAATAAATTATTGATATCCTTTAACAGACTTTCATAGGTTCACATAACAGAAAGACACATTATTTATTGAAAAATAGTCAGCTACAGTAAGAAATTTACTGTTAACAGATGGATTCTTGCTCCTCTTTGAATAAACATGAATGTAGGAAACATTTCAGTATAGTAAATGTGAAGAAAGTAATAAAAGAGAAATCCAAGATCCCAAGAAAAACTGTCTTCTGTAGTGGTATATTATGCAACCTAATAAACTTGCCTGGGAATCAGAGAAAAAAGTCAGCCTCTAGGTTAGACATAGAGGCCAGACAGTGGTGGCACACACCTGTAATCCTATCACTTGAGAGGCAGAGACCTTTCTGGATCTCTGTGAGTTCAAGGCCACACTGGAAACAGAGCCAGGCAGTGGTGGCACACACCTTTAATCCCAGTACTGAGAAGCACACATCTTTAATCCCAGGAAGTGACGTGGCTGGGTGGAGAAAGGTATATAAGGCCTGAGGAAACAGGAACTAAAGTAGTTCAGCTGAGATCCTTTTGGGTGAGGACTCAGAGGCTTTCAATCTGAGGAAACAGGATTGGCCGAGGAGTTGGCAAGGTGAAGTTGGCTGTGGCTTGCTCTGCTTCTCTGATCTTTCAGCTTTCACCCCAATATCTGGCTCTGGGTTTTTATTATAAAACCATTAAAGATTCGAACAGTCTCAAGCCAATTAAGGTCTGTTTGTTTTTTGGTAGTGCCTTCATTAGGGTTTCTGTTGCCACAACAAAACACCCTGACCAAAAGCAAGTTGAGGAGTAAAGGGTTTATTTAGCTTACACTTCCACATCATAGGTCATCACTGAAGGAAATCAGGACAGGAATTCAAACCGGGAAGGATGCTGGAGGCAGAAGCTGATGAAGAGGCCATGGAGGGCAGCTGCTTACTGGCTTGCTCCTCGTTGCTTTCTCATATAGAACCCAGGACTACCAGCCCAGAAGTGGCACCACCCATTATGGGCTGGGTCCTCCTCTATCAATCACTAATTTTAAAAAAGCACTACAAGCTTGCCTACAGTCTGATCTTATGAAGGTGTTTTTCCAGTTGTGGCTCCTTCCTCTCAAATGACTTCAGCTTATGTCAAGTTGACACAAAACTAGACAGCCCAGATAAGAAAGCTGACAGAAATAATAAATGAAACTGTAGACCTGTGCTGTTCAATATGAAACAACTAAACATGCTATTGTCATGGAACCCTTAAAGTGTGATCAGTACTGGCAGAAGACTTATATTAATGTTATTTAATTAGACATACTT